TTTTTTTTTGGAGGCCAGGATCTGTTTTGAGGAATGAGGATCCTCTAGTTTGAGATGATGTTGTGGATCATCTGTTGAGACTGTGGGCCAGAGGGTCATGCAGATGTTTCAGTTGGGCGGAACCAGCAGAGGTCTGATCAGGTTTGGGCTCTAAAGTTCTGCTGGATGAACCCAGAACCATGGGGGGACCATGAGGATGATGAGGCTCTGCAATCTGGAAGCTCATATTTTCAATCAAAGCTTTCTGGATCTGCCTCCATCGTTTCTCCTTCTCTGGCGTCTTCATTCCTTCCTTCCTTCCTTGCTTCCTTCCTTCCTTCCTTCTCTCCTGTCTCATTTACTTTCCTCACCTCCACCTCAGTTTCAGATTAAATAAACTTTGAAGTTCAAGATGAAAATCTTACATCCTGCTTTCTTCTTCTCATCCTCCCTCTTCATTTCATCCTCTTCCTCTTCTGCCCACTTCTTTTCCTTTCTGCCCGTCGTCATAGCTACGAGTCTTCAGAGGAAGTCCTTCCTGCCTCTCCACGGATCACTTCCTTCCCGACCGTCAGCGGCTCTCCAGCCAGCCTGGCTTCATCCATGGAAACCTTGGAAACCGCCTCCTCCCTGCGTTTCCGTCGTCCTCAGCCTGACTCCATGTAGACCACCTGGGCAGGTAGACTGCCCGTCCACCATCCCAGGGTCTCCAGTAGGAACCAAACCTGTCCGTCTTCCCCGGTGGAGACGGACAGGTCCAAGAGGCTCTGGCTGCTGCTACTGAAAGCAGAAAATCTAAACTGGGCGGTTAACCCCCCTCCCAGTTCACTACCAGCTTAAACCTGTATGATGACTGGAACAGATAACCCAGGAGACCCATTACAAGCTCCTCTGCAGAACCAGAACCAACAGAACTGGGTTGTTAGAACTTTGCGTATCTTGTGAAGATGAAGATGAATCCATCCAGTCCCATAAGTGAACATGGTGGGAAGGTTCCAGTTTAACCCAGTTTAACCCGCCTTCACCTCATAAATAAAGCAAGACGAACTGTTTGTTTGATCTTTACATGGAAAGTTAAGTTAAACGTTGGTCAGTCTTTGATTGGCGCGTTATAAACCCCGCCCCCTCTCTCTCCCTGCAGGTACGAGGAGTCTTCTGAGGAGGAGGAGCCTAAAGAGGAAAAAGGATCATCAGGAGCTGAGAAGAAAAAGGACCAATAGGATCCATCGCTGCCATCCCCCAAATCCCCTCATTTTACTGAAGCCCCGCCCACTCATGCTGAGGGCGAGGCTTATGTTGCCAACGATTTTGTGTCCAGTCTCCATGGTTACGCTGCTGCCTGACTTCTCCTCGCCACGGCTGCAGCCATGAAAACAGGAGCTGCTGAGGGGCGGGACCAAATGAGTGGGCGGGGCTTGAACCTGGCCTGCTGGGATGGAGCAGGAAGCAGTAGACGGTGGTGGTTGGAGAGTCTCTGCTTCCTGGTTGATCTGCTTCTGTTGCTCGCTGTCATTCTTTCCGCTCAGCTTCACTTTGTTCCTGTTAAAATGTTTGAAATCAGTTCAGGTTTTTCTTTGTCGTCGCTTCAGCAGTGAGGGCGTCGGAGCCAGCGCCATGTTGGACAGGTCTGTTTTAGAGACGGGATTCAGTAGAACCGTCTCCTCTGGAACAGAACTTCAGCAGGACCAACAAACACCGTTCAGCTCCCAGTTCATCAGAACCTCCCCCTGTGATTGGTGGACAGACTGGAGGAGGAGGATCAGCCCGGCCAATCAGCAGCCAGGAGCTAAAGAGTGTCTGGTTCTGATGAAAGGGAGCATTTATTGTCCAGTTTCTCACAGTGTCGAATAAATTAAAACATTAAATTCTGGTCCTGATGGATGGGTCCTGATGGACGGGTCCTGATGGACGGGTCCTGATGGTCGGGTCCTGATGGTCGGGTCCTGATGGTCGGGTCCTGATGGTCGGGTCCTGATGGACGGGTCCTGATGGTCGGGTCCTGATGGACGGGTCGTTTGGTGTCCATGGATCGGGTCGTTGATCTGCAGAGGAGCTCGGACAGTAACGGGTCGGTCCGTGGAGTCACAGGAAGCCGAGGAAGAAGGATGGATTCCCTGGAACTACATTTCCCATGATGCCCAGCCACTGCTGAACAGACCCAGATGGTCCTAAAGTTCTGCCTGGGTCCGGTTCTGTTCAGAAACTAGCTGATGTTTCTCAAATGTTTTCTTTTTCTGCCCAAACTGTCTGTTTGCAATAAAGCTCTCGGTGGTTCCGTCTCATAACCGACCCGTTTGTTTGACTCTAGCTCCACATTCAGAACCATTCCAGAACTTCATGCGGGCCCAGGGTGAGTCTGCTCCGTTACCCCAGTCTGCATGTTCTAGGCAGTCCAGTCTGGTTCTGGACTTTAACCGGATAGTTTTAGACCTGCTGCTCACACAGTTCTGGTCCTCTGGGCTCCTCGGTCCACAGGGCCGGCGCTGCTGCCGCCATCTTTGAAACCGAAGCTTCAACTGTTGAAGAGGAGCAGAAGTTCTGGTCCTGTACTCGGTGGACCAGAACCAGCATGGAAACTGAATCCTCAGGTCCGCTGAGCTCAGGACTCGGTCTCCATGTGGGTTCAGGTCCGCTGAGCTCAGGACTCGGTCTCCATGT